ATACACTTTCACCTCCCTCTTACTTGTTGTTGCCATTTTCCTCTTGTCCCATCTACCTCTTACTCTAACTGTAGCTACAATTAGATAATGATCCGATATATCAGTTGCCCCTCTATAAACGTGTACATCCTGGAGCCTACCCATCAACCTTTTATCCATAATACATAATCTAACGGATGCAAAAAGTGGGTCATAATAAGCGTGTATGCACCTGGAGAAGAGAGGAATGCAGAGGAGAGAGAGAGATTTTGGGAGATGTTAAGTGAATGTATAGGAGCCTTTGAACCAAGTGAGAGAGTAATTGTGGTAGGGGACCTGAATGCTAAAGTAGGAGAAACTTTTAGAGAGGGTGTGGTAGGTAAGTTTGGGGTGCCAGGTGTAAATGATAATGGGAGCCCTTTGATTGAACTTTGTATAGAAAGGGGTTTAGTTATAGGTAATACATATTTTAAGAAAAAGAGAATAAATAAGTATACAAGATATGATGTAGGGCGAAATGACAGTAGTTTGTTGGATTATGTATTGGTAGATAAAAGACTGTTGAGTAGACTTCAGGATGTACATGTTTATAGAGGGGCCACAGATATATCAGATAATTTTCTAGTTGTAGCTACACTTAGAGTAAAAGGTAGATGGGATACAAGGAGAATAGAAGCATCAGGGAAGAGAGAGGTGATGGTTTATAAACTAAAAGAGGAGGCAGTTAGGGTAAGATATAAACAGCTATTGGAGGATAGATGGGCTAATGAGAGCATAGGCAATGGGGTCGAAGAGGTATGGGGTAGGTTTAAAAATGTAGTGTTAGAGTGTTCAGCAGAAGTTTGTGGTTACAGGAAAGTGGGTGTGGGAGGGAAGAGGAGCGATTGGTGGAATGATGATGTAAAGAGAGTAGTAAGGGAGAAAAAGTTAGCATATGAGAAGTTTTTCAAAGTAGAAGTGATGCAAGGAGGGAAGAGTATATGGAGAAAAAGAGAGAGGTTAAGAGAGTGGTGGAAGAAATGTAAAAAGAGAGCAAATGAGAGAGTGGGTGAGATGTTATCAACAAATTTTGTTGAAAATAGAAAAAGTTTTGGAGTGAGATTAACAAGTTAAGGAAGCCTAGAGAACAAATGGATTTGTCAGTTAAAAATAGGAGAGGAGAGTTATTAAATGGAGAGTTAGAGGTATTGGGAAGATGGAGGGAATATTTTGAGGAATTGTTAAATGTTGATGAAGATAGGGAAGCTGTGATTTCGTGTATAGGGCAAGGAGGAATAACATCTTGTAGGAGTGAGGAAGAGCCAGTTGTGAGTGTGGGGGAAGTTCGTGAGGCATTAGGTAAAATGAAAGGGGGTAAGGCAGCCGGGATTGATGGGATAAAGATAGAAATGTTAAAAGCAGGTGGGGATATAGTTTTGGAGTGGTTGGTGCAATTATTTAATAAATGTATGGAAGAGGGTAAGGTACCTAGGGATTGGCAGAGAGCATGCATAGTTCCTTTGTATAAAGGCAAAGGGGACAAAAGAGAGTGCAAAAATTATAGGGGGATAAGTCTGTTGAGTATACCTGGTAAAGTGTATGTTAGAGTTATTATTGAAAGAATTAAGAGTAAGACAGAGAATAGGATAGCAGATGAACAAGGAGGCTTTAGGAAAGGTAGGGGGTGTGTGGACCAGGTGTTTACAGTGAAACATATAAGTGAACAGTATTTAGATAAGGCTAAAGAGGTCTTTGTGGCATTTATGGATTTGGAAAAGGCGTATGACAGGGTGGATAGGGGGCAATGTGGCAGATGTTGCAGGTGTATGGTGTAGGAGGTGGGTTACTGAAAGCAGTGAAGAGTTTTTACGAGGATAGTGAGGCTCAAGTTAGAGTATGTAGGAAAGAGGGAAATTATTTCCCAGTAAAAGTAGGCCTTAGACAAGGATGTGTGATGTCACCGTGGTTGTTTAATATATTTATAGATGGGGTTGTAAGAAAAGTAAATGCGAGGGTCTTGGCAAGAGGCGTGGAGTTAAAAGATAAGGAATCACACATAAAGTGGGAGTTGTCACAGTTGCTCTTTGCTGATGACACTGTGCTCTTGGGAGTTTCTGAAGAGAAGTTGCAGAGATTGGTGGATGAATTTGGTAGGGTGTGCAAAAGAAGAAAATTAAAAGTAAATACAGGAAAGAGTAAGGTTATGAGGATAACAAAAAGATTAGGTGATGAAAGATTGGATATCAGATTGGAGGGAGGGGAGATGGAGGAGGTGAATGTATTCAGATTTTTTGGGAGTGGACGTGTCAGCGGATGGGTCTATGAAAGATGAGGTGAATCATAGAATTGATGGGGGGAAAAGGTGAATGTGCATTAGGAGTCTGGGAGACAAAGAACTTGCCCTTGGAGGCTAAGAGGGGAATGTATGAGAGTATAGTTTTACCAACACTCTTATATGGGTGTGAAGCATGGGTGATGAATGTTGCAGCGAGGAGAAGGCTGGAGGCAGTGGAGATGTTGTGTCTAAGGGCAATGTGTGGTGTGAATATAATGCGGGAGGAATTCGTAGTTTGGAAGTTAGGAGGAGGTGCGGGATTATCAAAACTGCTGTCCAGAGGGCTGAGGAAGGGTTGTTGAGGTGGTTCGGACATGTAGAGAGAATGGAGCGAAACAGAGTGGAAGGATGGCGGGGTAGGGGTCGGCCTAGGAAAGGTTGGAGGGAGGGGGTAAAGGAGGTTTTGTGTGTGAGGGGCTTGGACTTCCAGCAGGCATGTGTGAACTTGTTTGATAGGAGTGAATGGAGACAAATGGCTTTTAATACTTGACGTGCTGTTGGAGTGTGAGCAAAGTAACATTTATGAAGGGGTTCAAGGAAACCAGCAGGCCGGACTTGAGTCCTGGAGATGGGAAGTACAGTGCCTGCACTCTGAAGGAGGGGTGTTAATGTTACAGTTTAAAAACTGTAGTGTAAAGCACCCTTCTGGCAAGACAGTGATGGAGTGAATGATGGTGAAAGTTTTTCTTTTTCAGGCCACCCTGCCTTGGTGGGAATCGGCCAGTGTGATAATAAAAAAAATATATAATAACATAATCTAACAAAATGTGATATGCAAATTGATTGTAAATTCTCATACATTATTGTCATGACTGTTTATTTTACCACTTGATAAAAGACACCTAGATCCAAAGTAAATCTTATTTAGTGTCTTTAAATGTCATATATCAATTGTTTCCTGTCTCTCCAGACCCAATTAGCATTCCTGCTCATACATTATTGTCACCATTATTTTTGTATCTCTCAATACTTATTAAAACAAAAAAAAAAATTGCCACTCCAGTCAAGATAACTCTATTCATATGACAGGCTCTGGTGGCCTGGTGATTAAAGCTCTCGCTTCACATGGCGAGGGCCTGGGTTCGATTCCCAGCCAGAGTAGAAACATTGGGCGTGTTTCTTTCCACCTATTGCCTATGTTCCCCATCAGTAAAATGGGTACCTGGGTGTTAGTCGACTTGTGTGGGTTGCATCCTGGGACACTGACCTAATTTGCCCGAAATTCTCAGCATAACAAGGGGCTTTCTATATAGTAGTATGTCATTGATGTCAGCTAGGCCTGTATACCATGTACATGTACTTGTAATAAATAAAAATATTATTATTATTATTATTATTATTAACTTAGCTTTAAAACAATCTAATCCATAACTAAGCAATATCAGTTAATATAATAACCTAGTTTTAAGTGAATCTTCTGAGTAAACTTTCCAGATTAATTAGCATTAAGCCTAGGTCAAGTTTGCCCAAAGGGCTACACACACTATGGGCTTTAAACATTGTTGTGGTATATAATACTATGAAAATAAAAATTTGCTTTTGATATACAGGTCCTCCATCACAAATCCGGCATCATTGGGACCTGTAGTGTGCCGGATTACTGAGTTTGCCGGATTACAGAGTGGTTAGGTTAGAATACACTTAATAAAATTAACCAACTTGACTTACACAAAGTTCATTGAACATCAGCAAAAATCGAACATTTCCGCTGCTTTGAGCTCAATTTTCCCCTCAAGGAAGGTTCCTTGATGTTGGTGAGGGGCTCTTAATTTAGGGAATTGGATCTGTGCTCCAGTTCCCCGAATTAAGCCTGAATGCCTTCCACATCGCCCCCCCAGGCGCTGTATAATCCTCCGGGTTTAGTGCTTCCCCCTTGATTATAATAATAATAATGAGCTCAATTTCAAGGTACTTTTCATCATGAAAGCAATCAAAATCATGTCTATTTCTGTAATATACCTTCCATTCTATCAAATGAGACAAAAAAAACGAGAATACAACCATAAAAACCATACGAAAATATTCCACAAAATATACCACGTTAAGAAGCATCTTTCCATCATACATTGCCCAAGTTTCAGTGAGATAGCCCAACAAACAACTGAGAAAAAAAATAATATTTACCAAAAATCATGGCAAGCCCAAGCCAGGTAGTGGAAATAAGTCACTTTGTCTGACTTTTTTGAGTTATCCTAGGTTCTCTATACATACACTGCTATGTATGATAATCTCACCATTCACCTATTTCAACTACCCAATAAAGTGGTCAGAAATTGGCAATTTGGCCAATTTCACAGATGCCAGTTTCAAAATAGGGTCCAGAATAGACAATGCAGACATTCCTGGCACTAAAATAACATTTTCTCTGTTCATTAGTCATGGGTCTAGGCCCCTCTTATACACCTACCATCCGACTTACGACCTGCTTGACACGACCACTCGACTTACGACCATGTTTTTTATGCCAAATCTCTGGGAAATAAACAAGTGTTTGTGTTGTACACAGCGTTTATCCTAAATCTAACAGTATAAAATACAGTACTAACAGCATGAAAAGTAAAGTAAAACATGAAATAATAAAATAAAACAATAAAATAAAGTCATTACAAAAATGCGATGTTGATATTCAGTAGTAAAGTTCGACTTACGACCGGTTTCTCGGAACTGAACTCGGTCGTAAGTTGGATGGTACCTGTATTACTCTTGCTTACCATTTGGAATTTTTATTCACACAGAAAAATAGAAGATTTACTGTTATGAAGACTACTGCATTATTGTAATTGTATAAATAATGTCGACCCATTTTTGACTGCGTATTGGAATTTGGACTGGCAAGTGGACAGGTATTGGACGGTGACGTCATTTGTTTACTTGAGCATCGAAGAATAGAACTTTTCTGCTACTGTGAGCGCAATTTCAAGGTACTTTTCATCATGAAAGCAATCAAAATCATATCTATTTCTGTAATATATCTTCCATTCTATTAAATGAGACCGAAAAAACGAGAATATAACCATAAAAACCATACAAAAATATACCGCTAAGCGGCCGCTGATGGCTGAGAAGTGAACTCTGCTATTTATGGTCTGATTTCTTTCATTTCTGGTGTATATTAAGAAGTATCTTTCCATCATACATTGCCCAAGTTTCAATAAGATAACCCAACAAACAAATGAGAAAATAATAATAATAATAATTTACTACACGTACATGTACATGGGGTACAGACATAGCTGACTATATAGAAAGCCACTTGTTATGCAGAGTATTTCAAGCAGTCGACTAAGACCCAGGTACCCATTTACTGATGGGTGAACATAGACAACAGGTGTAAAGAAACGCCCAGTGTTTCTACCCTGGCTGGGAATTGAATATTTACCAAAAATCATATATGGCTAACCCAAGCCAGGTACTAGAAATAAGCCATGTTGTCTGACTTTTTTGGGTTATGCTAGGTTCTCTACACATATGCTGCTATGTGTGGTAATCTGTATAGAGAAAATTGCTTTTTTGTTTCAGGTTTATGGTGCAGTACGAGTGTATATCACAGTTAGCCCTGTGCTACACTCTGTTTTCTCTAATATAAGCCCCCAAGACAGGGATAGGAGAATGGTACAGTGGACCCCCGGTTAACGAACTTTTTTCATTCCAGTAGTATGTTCAGGTGCCAGTACTGACCGAATTTTTTCCCATAAGGAATATTGTGAAGTAGATTAGTCCATTTCAGACCCCCAAACATACACGTACAAACGCACTTACATAAATACACTTACATAATTGGTCGCATTTGGAGGTGATCGTTAAGCGGGGGTCCACTGTACTTGTATCTCATATCCTCTTCATACCTCCGTCGAACTGCTTGGTATTATGCCAAATATTATTCGTTCTGGAGTATTTAACATGTTTTATGTTATTTATATTGTTTATTATGTCATATTAGATCAATTGTGATAGGCAATAAGCTGTAGTCTTGATATTAGTGTAATAATAAAGCATATTCTCCTGCATCACGAGACTGAGCTCATGGCAACCGACAGTGGCTTCAAAGCCACCTTATCTTTAATGGAAAGTATACTGTGTAGGTGCTTTACACAACGAAAAGCATTTCTTTTATTCGTTGGAACCATGGCTAGGGCTAAAAGTAAGCAGGTTATAACAATAAATGGAGAAAAAGAAATTAGAATGACTTATGCAGCAAGTAGCGCCACCAAACAGTACCAGCAGGTTGGTGTGGCGACCCTGGAAATTTGAAATTATGCTAGCCGAAATTAGTGCCGAATAACTGAAGGAACCGAATAACTGATTGTCGGATTTGTGATGGCGGACCTGTACTACAGACTGGCTGTTGTAAAGTTGTAAGTGGCTCATATGAGCTTAGTTTGTAAATGCAGATGTTTGTAAGTTTGAGTTGTCTTCCAGTTAATTAAACCTCTATACTTCCTTTACTTTTCATGTGGTATACTATCAAATAAAAAATATTTAAAATTATGCCAGTTTGAACATTCTGTGACACAAGAATTTCTTAGATAAAATAAAAAAAATTTTTTTTTGAAGCCAATTGACTTTTGCTTAGTGCAGTGATGTGTCTAATGCAATACTGCAACAGTTTTTGAGCTTGTATCTTATAAAAATGTTTTAGGTCTGTAACTTCTCATATTTCCACATCCCTAGCAACAGTTTTTTCTTTTAGGCATGTGTAGGAAAAGAACTGCACCATCATCTGGAGGTTGGCACCAACTTATTAGCACTGAAGATGTTAGCAAAGCATGACATAATGTGCACTAGCTACTATAGAAAAATGAATGTTGTACCCACTAGAGAGAAATGAACTGATGCGGGTCTACATTAAGAATTACTTCCATCATGATCTACTGTGCTGAGTCTTATGCTGTTAGTAAAAAGTACAGTAATACAATTAATGCTCTACTGAACTTATGATCTGCCATATCTTTCACATTTAAGCTACTGAACAGGTAAAATGAATACACAGTTTATTACCTTGAATTTTTTTTTTTATCAATAAGCTTTCATGTTGATTTATTTCTATAAAGTATTTAAGGATTTGTTAATGTGTAGATGTGTTCAAATACCTCAAACTGAGGTTGCATAATTTTTAATACAATAAAACCCAGTTAGCATTCAGCTTATTTTCCTAAAAACTTGTACATTATGTGAGAGTTACATGGACTGAAGAGCATATGGTAAAAATAGGGTTACAGTCTTTACACCTTTAAAAAATAAGCCACCAAGAGATTTTTTTTTTGTTTAATTTTGTAATTTGTCAAAAATAATGGTTTTTTATATATTACATTGTAGTTGTAATTGCTTGTTGATGCAAGTTCATGAAGAGGGTTGGGACCTGTAAAATACTTGTACAGATATGTGGCAGGCAGTATCAGCTACCACCATTATCTACCACTACCCCCACCACCATCATCATTGGGAAAAATAAGCCTGATTTCCTTTTCAAAGTGAATCAGTCATAGGAAATCACCATATCTATACCAAATAAACTTATACTAATGACAAATACAGTGGAAAATTAATAACCAAGAAAAATGCAGTAGTATAATAAAATGCTATGAGAGGAGTTGGGGTTCATGGGACTATACACTCCCTCAAGAGTCTCCTTGATGCTGGTGAGGGCTCTTGATTCAAGAAGTTGGATGTGTCCTCTTCTATGGATTGTACATAATTGTCTTCATTCAAATGAGCTGTATAACCCCTGCAGATTTAGTGCTTTCCCTCTAAATATAATAATGATAATAGCACAACAAATGGAAGTGTTCCTTTTGTAGCCCTATAAAAAAGTGTTCCATTTGTATCCCAATAGAAACAGAAGAGTTACTCCTAATTAAGTCAGGAGGACCATTTGACAGTCAGATGCTTATACACCTTGCCTGGGCCAGCAGCCAGCTTTTCTCCCATGCCACAGACATCCCCAAAGAAAAACATTTTTGCTACTGCTTCAGTCAGAAATAATCCTTTTGCTACACAGCTTTCTTGTTCAATAGCTTTTCACACTTTAATTACCAGCTGCCAACATATTCAAGAGTAGTAGAAATACAGCTATGGTGTAATCATTGCTATACCATCATCACCCTAAGTGCCACTTTCTGTCATCAGTATTATAAAAGTTTACAAGTGAAATGGGTACAATACTCAAAAGTAATAGCAAATTATCTTAAATACTTCATGTTAGGATACAATTAATCACCTTACATATTGTCTCGCTCTGCATTGCCAAAGTAAATTCCAAAGTTCTAGAAACCAAAAATGTTTCACGATCAAACTTGTTTTATCCAACTTTGTGTTAACTCTTTCAGGGTTGGCAGGCCCTCTCCCAAACCTGTTCTTGGGGTCGGAAAATATTTGAAAAAAAAAATTATTTTTCTTATGAAAAGATATTTATTTTTTTTTTCTAAATTTTATAGGCCTAAAAATTTTTTTGCCATCAATACTTACTGAGATATGGAGGCATGAAGTTGACAGAAATTGACCCGCATACGGCAAGATCGCCGACTGCCGGTCACCCGGTAATAATTTATTTAGTTTTTTCTACCTTTTTCTATTATTTTTTTAATATTTTTTCTTTTCAAGTAACTTTTATAGCCTGTGAGACCAACATGAGGACTATTTTGTAAATATTCACTCTTTCTGTACTACACGAACACTGTTGTCATTATATTGTTAACAAAACATGTTTACACAAACGAACAAAATAAAATGTTGATTATTACAATTTTTCTATACATTATACAGGTGTCCCTCAACATTCGCGAGGGTTAGGGGATCAAGAGCCTCGCGAATGTTGAAAAACCGTGAATGTTTGGTGCCCCAATATATTGTAGGGAAATATAATACAATACTGCTTAACTTGTTGAACCATGAACAATCATAAAATACATGAAAACGTCGTAAATTGTACTAAATATATACATGTTATGCCACTGCCTCCACCACTGCCTCCACCACTGCCTCCACCACTTCCTCCACCACTGCGAATCCCTACTACCCTCCCTCCGACCCCTGCAACTGGCAGCCAGCCCTCCCACCACTCAGTGTGGTGAGTGTTTTGTTTGTTCATTATTTGCTATTAAACTACAGTATAAATAATGTAAACACATTCATGACTGCTTATTGGAATGGCTATTTGGACAGGTATTGGACGGTGACATCATGTGTTTACTCTTGAACACAACAAAGAATCAAACATTTCTGCTATTGCTAATAATAACAATAGTAATAATAATAATAATTAATAATAATAATAATAATAATAATAATAATAATAATAATAATAATAATACGATATAATTGAAGAAGGAAATTGTACAAAAATACGAGGGAGTGGTTGACACATCGTCAGTGTGGCTTTGTTTATGCTGGAGTGAACATTAGTCTCCCTGCTCTTCCAAACATTTCACAATAATTCAGCGGTTGAGGCAGTGGTAGAGGCAGTGATTGAGGCAGTGATAGAGGCAGTGGGTGAGGCAGTGGTATTTACTAACATATACGTATGTTATAAATAATAATAGTATGTGTTAATATTAATAACATTTATAATAATAATAATAAATTATTTTTTTTTTTTATTATCACACCGGCCGATTCCCACCAAGGCAGGGTGGCCCGAAAAAGAAAAACTTTCACCATCATTCACTCCATCACTGTCTTGCCAGAAGGGTGCTTTACACTACAGTTTTTAAACTGCAACATTAACACCCCTCCTTCAGAGTGCAGGCACTGTACTTCCCATCTCCAGGACTCAAGTCCGGCCTGCCGGTTTCCCTGAATCCCTTCATAAATGTTACTTTGCTCACACTCCAACAGCACGTCAAGTATTAAAAACCATTTGTCTCCATTCACTCCTATCAAACACGCTCACGCATGCCTGCTGGAAGTCCAAGCCCCTCACACACAAAACCTCCTTTACCCCTCCCTCCAACCCTTCCTAGGCCGACCCCTACCCGCCTTCCTTCCACTACAGACTGATACACTCTTGAAGTCATTCTGTTTCGCTCCATTCTCTCTACATGTCCGAACCACCTCAACAACCCTTCCTCAGCCCTCTGGACAACAGTTTTGGTAATCCCGCACCTCCTCCTAACTTCCAAACTACGAATTCTCTGCATTATATTCACACCACACATTGCCCTCAGACATGACATCTCCACTGCCTCCAGCCTTCTCCTCGCTGCAACATTCATCACCACGCTTCACACCCATATAAGAGCGTTGGTAAAACTATACTCTCATACATTCCCCTCTTTGCCTCCAAGGACAAAGTTCTTTGTCTCCACAGACTCCTAAGTGCACCACTCACTCTTTTTCCCTCATCAATTCTATGATTCACTCATCTTTCATAGACCCATCCGCTGACACGTCCACTCCCAAATATCTGAATACGTTCACCTCCCCCATACTCTCTCCCTCCAATCTGATATTCAATCTTTCATCACCTAATCTTTTTGTTATCCTCATAACCTTACTCTTTCCTGTATTCACCTTTAATTTTCTTCTTTTGCACACCCTACAAATTCATCCACCAATCTCTGCAACTTCTCTTCAGAATCTCCCAAGAGCACAGTGTCATCAGCAAAGAGCAGCTGTGACAACTCCCACTTTGTGTGTGATTCTTTATCTTTTAACTCCACGCCTCTTCCCAAAGGGACCCTCGCATTTACTTCTCTTACAACCCCATCTATAAATATATTAAACAACCACGGTGACATCACACATCCTTGTCTAAGGCCTACTTTTACTGGGAAAAAATTTCCTCTTTCCTACATACTCTAACTTGAGCTCACTATCCTCGTAAAAACTCTTCACTGCTTTCAGTAACCTACCTCCTACACCATACACTTGCAACATCTGCCACATTGCCCCCTATCCACCCTGTCATACGCCTTTTCCAAATCCATAAATGCCACAAAGAGACCTCTTTAGCCTTATCTAAATACTGTTCACTTATATGTTTCACTGTAAACACCTGGTCCACACACCCCTACCTTTCCTAAAGCCTCCTTGTTCATCTGCTATCCTATTCTCCGTCTTACTCTTAATTCTTTCAATTATAACTCTACCATACACTTTACCAGGTACACTCAACAGACTTATCCCCCTATAATTTTTGCACTCTCTTTTATCCCCTTTGCCTTTATACAAAGGAACTATGCATGCTCTCTGCCAATCCCTAGGTACCTTACCCTCTTCCATACATTTATTAAATAATTGCACCAACCACTCCAAAACTATATCCCCACCTGCTTTTAACATTTCTATCTTTATCCCATCAATCCCAATGTTATTCATAATGTACTATTATTATTTATAACATACTGTATATGTTAGTAAATATCACTGCCTCTATCACTGCCTCTACCACTGCCTCTACCCCTGCCTCTACCACTGCCTCAACCGCTGAATTATTGTGAAATGTTTGGAAGAGCAGGGAGACTAATGTTCACTCCAGCATAAACAAAGCCACACTGACGATGTGTCAACCACTCCCTCGTATTTTTGTACAATTTCCTTCTTCAATTATATCGTATTATTATTATTATTATTATTATTATTATTATTACTATTGTTATTATTAGCAGTAGCAGAAATGTTTGATTCTTTGCTGTGTTCAAGAGTAAACACATGATGTCACCGTCCAGTACCTGTCCAAATAGCCATTCCAATATGCAGTCATGAATGTGTTTACATTATTTATACTGTAATTTAATAGCAAATAATGAACAAACAAAACACTCACCACACTGAGTGGTGGGAGGGCTGGCTGCCAGTTGCGGGGGTCGGTGGGAGGGTAGTAGGGACTCGCAGGTGGCGGGAAACTTGAATATGATTTGGCGGCTGGGAATTTGGTGGCTGGGAATTTGGCGGTTGGGAATTCGCGAATGTGTGAAGCCCGCGAAAGCTGAAAACGTGAATGTTGAGGGAGACCTGTATATACATATATATAGTC